GGGTTGTTATATAAACGTGAACGAGAGCAGCTGCGTAGTTATTTTAGAAAATTCAATCATAAGGTTTCAATAACCACAGATGCATGGTCATCATGTACTAACCAAGCATTTCTATCAGTTACTTTACATTGGATTAATGACCAATGGCAGATGCAATGTATACTTTTGGATTTTATTCCACTCCATGAAAGGCACATAGGTTACTTTCTGGCGGAAACACTTTTTAATTTAATCGAAGACTTTGGTTTGGGAAAAAAAATTCTGTCAATGACTGCCAATAATGCTAGCAATATGGATGTTTGTGGTCAACACCTTACAAGTATGTTGAGCTTCCATTATAAAAATACCACTTTTCGTCGATTGAGGTGTGCCACGCATATACTTAATCTTGCCGTCATAAATGGGCTTTCTGAAATTGATAAATCAACAAAGAAGGCTCGAGAGTTTGCAAATACTATTCACCGTTCCCAACCACATTTAGAAGAATTAAAAAAAATCTTTGCAATGAAAAACAAACCGTTCCTTATACCCGTTCTTGATTGCGAAACGAGGTGGAATTCGTTATATTTGATGTTGAACAAGTTATGTAGAATTTGGGAAATGACAGATATATTAGTAGTTTCAGTGCTGAAACTTAAAAGTTCATATATGACAGATCAAGATTAGGTTAATATTAATACTGTAATGACACTACTAGAACCCATTTACGAAGCTACCAAACTACTTTCCTCGTCAAGCCATCCAACTATCGAGGATATACGTACAGTCTTTTTTGTGATTATGATAAATTTAACTAAAGCTAAGGATGGAACGGATTCAGTAAAATCGCGAATCGCCAAAAAAATTCTTGAAAAACTCGATAAATATTGGGAAAAATTACAGTCCACCTTTCCAGAAGCAGTATTACTTGATCTGACATCTAAATTTTCCACTTTTAGTTCTAATTTAGAAAAAAATAATATGCGTCAGATAGTTAGCAAAACATATCAAAACTATGCCCCCCTCTTGTTGAAAACATGAATGAACATATCCCAGAAA